CCGCATGTATAACAAAAGTCATCTGGGAAATTTTCACAATGTCTTGAACTCAAAGCCATGTTTCACGAAACGCACAGAAAAAAGCAAACTTTAAAATGTCTCCCTATAACGCTTGCTAGTGCTTCTGAGAGGTCAGCTGACATAGATAAGGATTCTCGCGACGCTATTGGTAGAGAGAGATTGTTACAGAGAGAGGAACGGTGACAGGAAGTAGTGATAGAGGGGTACTTTTGTAGATTTGACCAAAGTAGAATGCTGGTCCATCAAAAAAGGAAGAAATTCAAAAATGAAAATTTTTTTATGGTAAATGTTCATAAAAATTCCAATAAAATTGAATTTTTCTAAAAAACGTGATGTGATGGACATTTTTCATTATTATTTTCCATTTCAGCACCAAAAAATACATTAAGTTCAGCTATCAGACCCCTTGTATTTTTTTCATCGCAGGCCTGTGATATTAATTGAAAATCTCCCAGCATAGTTAAAAGTTGCTTTTATAAATCTCAGTATCATATAGAGCAGTGGTTTCCAACTTGCATGAGACCGGGGGCCACAATTAAAAGCACAAATCAAATAGCAGGCCGCAACTTTATCAAAATTTCATGCAGGACTCCTTTATGTTTGAAGGAACATTAAATATTACTGTCAGATTTTTACCAAGTTGTACAAAACAAAAGTATTGAATTACAAATTAAAATAAGAAGTAGATTTTAGAAAATACTTAATTGTTACAAATAATATTTAAAAAGATATTGAATAAATGATACAAATTCGGGCTACAATAACTTTAATGTGCACCCATGTATTAAACAATTAATGTGCAACAGATATCTAATTGTTAAGATATAAAACTTGAAAAAGGTTGGTATTAAAACTTGCATAGTACCACACAAAATGTTTAATGAAAAAACTGAGGTTTGTCTGCTACAACCACCAGAGAATAGATATTTACATCTTAAATTAAAATTTCCAAATGTGTGTGTACAAATGTATTTTAGTCCAAAATGAGTGGTTTCAAAAAGCTAAATTGGAGAATTTCTTCGGGAAAATTTCTGATGCACACATGCTGAATTATATTCACAAAATACGAAAAAAATGAAATAAAAAAGAGCAACATACACGATTATTTTTGTATTTGAATAAATATTTTCTTAAATGCAAAACCCGAGAAAATGAATTTTTCTGCACCGTTGGTATGTTAAATTTCGCAAAAACGAAGAAATTGGGTTTCTATAAACGAGAAAAGTATTTTAAACCCATATAGATTTTTTACTAAAATTGTCTGCAAAAAAATTTACAACTAATATATTTTAGTCCGCGGGCCACAAAAAAATGGGGCTTCGCGGTCTGTATGCGGCCCCCGAGCCGCCTGTTGGAAACTGCTGATATAGAGCACTCCTCCCCCCCCCTCTCCTCTCAGTGGCCTGCATTGTAAAAGTTCAGTTTTTTTTATTTTTGTCCACTTTCATGCCTGAATATCTCATTCACATTTCTTATAAAGTTTGAACTTGGCATTTTTAGGGAATTGTAGCAAATGAAACGTTGGGTTATTTTATGGCCAGAATTCATCTTTTTTTGATGGCAGTAGGGATAAATTCTGAAAAACTCCGTTTCCGTCAACACATGTCAAATGAGATGGCTCATTATGCAACAGATTGTTGGGATGCTGAAATCAAAACATCTTATGTAAGTATATATACTTTTGTCCATCTCAAACACTTTTGTGCGTTTTAGAAATGCTTTTTTTTTATTAAGTTTAAATTAAAAATATTATCTATTGCATTATAATTGTATTATTGTTACATATTAAATTAATACATATATATTTATTTTATGTTTGTATATTTTATATTTATATGTGTATAATACATATATGATATGTATTAATGCATTATACACTATGAAAATTATATATTCTTATATTAATCCAATGCTTCTCAACCACTTTGCTGTGGCATTTTTTTGTGCCCCCAAATATTGGATATTGTAAAAATTATAATGCTTTTTTTTAATTATGAATGAAGTTTAAATTAAAAGAAATTATATATTGCATTATGTATTATTATTGCACATTATATTAATACAAATAATTATGTATTTGTTTTATATTAATATATGTAATATTATATAATTACATTACACATATAATTACACATATATATTTATACATATATAATTAATACATATATGATATATATGTATTAATGCATACATTATACAATATTAAATTATCTATTCTTACATTTGTCCGATGATTCTCAACCACTATGCCACCAAATTTTAGAAATGATGTAGTAAAAATTATTTAAATTTTTTTATTACATGTAAAGTGTAAATTTAAGAAAAGTATATGTATATGATATATTATATATATATATATATACTTATAATTTTTGCACTCTTTAACGGCGTGAACATCTTTGTCGGCGATAGTCCTGTTTCTGACAATCTGATAAGAAGGAAAAGTAATTCTGATAAGTAGGAAATTAACTATTAAAATTATTAAATAACAAAAGAAAGTTGAATATTAACTTAGAAAAGGAAATAAAAGTTAACCATTAAAATAAACTATGCAAATTATAGTTATGAAAACAAACTAACAAAGGATAACTCACAAAAAAAAACTTGTTAACAATTAATAATTAGCAAAAAAACAAGTTAACGAGGAATTCCAAGAAAAGTATTTAATGTAAAAAAAAATAGCAAAAATAACAGTTTACTTGTAATTAATCCATTAGTAAACATGTTTTTCTAGTAAGTATAACAGTGTATTATAGGTAAATAAACAACTTTTAAACTTTTTTTTTTGTGTGACATCAAATTTCAAAATTGTTAAAAGTGTGCCGTGACAAAAAAGAAAGAAAAAAAGAACTGTTTAAAATCAGTGCACTATTTGGTTATCATACAAAATTTTGTTAACAAATAAAAGTACTTTAAGCAAAAGTAATGAGTTATGGTTTGGAAAAGTAATAAGAGAAAAGTTCAAAACAGAAAAAGGTTACGGTTTTTAAGTACATTTCGAGGTAATCAGAAATTTAAAGTAACCTTAAATTTCATTTGAAAAATGTAAGAAAAATAAGTTGCATTTTTTCAAATTTAAAATGCATTAAATTTTAATTTAAATGTGTAAAAGGTTAAAATGTATGGAAATGTTGAAAAATTCATTGAAATAGTGAAGTTAGTAATATCTAGAAACCAATTATTATTACCAATTATATTAGAAATCAATGTCTACATGGAAAAGGAGTTTTATTGTATGTTAATTTTAAAACTTACCCAATCTTTAGAAATGGACTTTCCAAATTTGTAGTAGTAAATTAGTTTATAGTACAAATTCCATAAACACATTATAATTTTTGTCTGAAGAAATAAATAAAAAACAACAAATTGTATTCATATACAGGAATTTCCTTGAAATCTATTAAAGTTAAAATTATAGTTTGCTTTTATAAAATTTAAAAGAAATTTTTTTTTTTATATATAGATATTCCGTGTTAAATTCACTCATATTCAAAAATTGAGCACATAAATTTTGTTCTTAACTATATTCATAGGGTCAAATAAATAATAAACTGCTTGATAATTTCTACTATATTTTTATGAAATAAAGCATTGTTTTTATATTTTAAAACTTAAATCCCCAAAATTAAAATTTTGTGCAAAAAAAACGTTTTACTTTAGCAACATAAAATAAACAAATGAATTAAAGCTTTTCTCAAATCGAAAATAATTTGACTTTGTAATGTTACAAACAGTGTGTGTAGCGTTTTTAAAAAGTGCTTAAAAGGGATTTTTTATTCGGGGTTTGTTAAAGTACTTAATTTTCTATTCTTTAAAAAGAGATTTTTTTTCTGTGCCATGTCAATTGTCGTTTTAAATTTTTTTTTTTTTTTTTTTTTTTTTTTTTTTTTTTTTAGAGAAAACATGATTTTTCACAATTTTCTCTGCAATATTTATTAGAAACTAGTTTTTTTATCATGATTATGTCAAGTTTTTGAAAATATTCTTTATTGATTTTATGTTATAAATTAAGAACTTTAAACGATAGAAAGAAAAAAAACTTTTATTTCTGCACAGATCCTAATTAAGATTATTTTTCTTTTTGGGACGCGTTAAAAAATATTTTTTTTACCTTCAGCATTAAAAAATATCAGCTGTTCTGGGGGTTCCTCCTTATGACGTTCAGTTCAGAGAGGCCTTTAATGAAAAAAGAAATTAGTTGATGATCTGAAGCAGTAACTGATTAAAACTCCCGTTCTGACAAACTAGAGTCCAGCAACCGGACTCCTTGTCCAGTAAATGGTGTGCGTTAAATCTGTTGAGCATGTTCTCAAAACAAATTATGCCTCTGGGGAATTGGAGATAGATCGTTCTCTGCTTCAGGTCAAAATTACTATCTATGGATGGATGTATTAATGGTTCCGTCCTATAAATGAGTGTGGCAGACGTCGAATTCTCAGCTATAGGTGGCGCCCCCTCTGCCTTAATGGCCACCACCAACAACTATATACATGTTTTTATGTTTAAGGGATGGATCGAATGTGTGGGTTGTGCGGATAGATCTTGCTATGATTTAACTCAGCACACGAAAGCGACCGGAGTGAAGTTGAACGCTGAAGGACAATTGAAGGAATCTGTATCCTTTTTTCTTTATCTTAGTATTTGCAATTATTTTTATTACCAACTAAATTCTTGACGGTCCTATACTATTTGATAGTCTTTCCGGTGATAGAACTTTTCACTCCAGATTATTGTTCATCTCTCTGATGTTTTGAAAGCTGAAATTTCTAGCAAATTTTAGGTTTTGTGGTCATAGTTTTCGAATGATATTTAGTGTTTCATCGATTTAATAATATGTTCAATGAGTTAACTTCGTTATTACGACAGGTTAATATTGTTATCCTATTTTTTCTTTTAATTTATGTGCAAAGGATAATTAGTTTTTTATCATTTATAATCAAATTTTATATTTAGTTTTTACTGTTACTAAATAAAATTTAGTTCTACAGGTTTCATTGATTTTGAATAAACATCATGATTCACATTAAACCGACTCGTGATTTACGGATCGGAATTCATATAAAATTTTCTGCGAATTGCCATTTAAGTGAAAGTGATTAATGAATCACATATCGAATATTACTGTAAACTGATTTGCAAGTTACTCATCAGGATCCACACATCATGGTTTCAATTAAAATTATTTCTGAATCATATAATGTGATACCTATTGAAGTAATTTCAGAATCGTGCCTCACAATTTTCATTCTAGTAGTTTACGAATCACGCATTGTGATTCACAAAACAGAGATTTAAGAATTGCAATTCTCATCAAAATGATTTAAGAATCACACATAGCTGTTCTATATTAGGCACCTTTTGAATCAGAAATTGCTGTTTTCATCATAATGATCACAATTTGTATGAAAACTATTAGCTAATCACGCAACAAAATTCATATTGATGTGATTTATGTATCACACATTGTGATTTACGTCTTGTTAGTTAGTGTGTTTTATGTCATTTGCTATTCATATTGTTCCTATTTAAGAAACATAAACAGCAATTCAATTTCAATTTACAAATCACACATTGTGATACGTGATTTACGTAGTCTTTGAGACTTACTTCACTTTTCCTATAATTTTGATTTACATATGGTGTATCTAGATTCGTATAAATGCGATTTCAAAATTATGCTTAGTGAAAATTACGCATATTCACAAAATTTTAAAAGTCATGCTTCTCATTTTATGGATATATTTTAAAGAAAATAAAGCTTGGTAAGTCTTAGTTAGTTTTCTGTAAAATATTGTTCTGCAATAGATTTTATTATGTTTAAAATACATTACTCATTTTCTGAAGTAACAAAATAGATAATTTGTTATTAAAATTGAAACAAATATGTTAAATGAATATATTTTCATTTTTTATCTAATTATATACATTTCCTGTAACCTAAAATTTGATCTAACATATTGAAAAAAATTTTATATTTTAATAACTGTGCAATTACACAAACTTTATCAATTTTAATATGCTTGTTTAATGTAATATGTGTTATTTATTCACTCAATTTCATTATTTCACTTCCTTAAATTTTTCAAGAAAAGTTTCACTGATGCAAGTTTTTAAATGTTGACTAGTTGGCTCTGTCAATTGGAGTTTTTTTTTTATTTTTTAGTCCATTGGAATTTTTTAAAGCGATTTGAAACAGCAATGTAACTATCGACTATTTGTATTATTAAATGGTAAATTTAATAAATAAGTTGTTGTTTTTTGTCAAATAAGCATTGTGTTTTAAAAATAAACAATTCCTGTTTCTACGTAATTGTAAACTCTAGTTGAAATGTAATTTAGCATATAATTGTGATACTGAATATATGTCCTTGAAAAATGTGATTTTAGGACCTTTAAAGTCATTGAAAAATCCTTGAAGTGTTTTTTAAAAATTGAGTGGGAACCCTGGTAGAGTTTTTTTTAATCTTTTATTCTGTGGGCTAAATTCATTAATTGTTCGAGTTTGTTCCGATGGTTTGGGGGTATTTTTTTCTTTTAACAAAATTATTCAAAATGCTTTAGTATTTTTAACTTAATGAAATTCTCCAAAAAATAATAAGTTATGATTTAATTAGAGATATTATCTTGTACTCTTTTTCTGAAAAATTTTGTCCAAGGAATTATTTTTTCTCAGCAAAGCCAACCAATCGCTAATAGCAAAGTTGTTGCTGATTTTCTGAATTTCATGATAACTTTTATTTTGATATTTCTGAAATTGTTTCGCCTTTTACCCCAAAAAACTGGCAAAAACTAAGGAATGTATGGAAAACATGTTAAATTATAGATAAACTTAGAATAGAAAAAAAATTTATTTCTATTTCTTTATTAGAAAGAAGGAAAACAAAACTTTTTTTTTCTGCACTGTACAGGGACAGGTTTCAAGTTGGGCAGCCAGATGACAAAAATTTTAAACTTAATATTAAGTAAACTAGGTATCATTTCCAAGGTAAAATTTTAAGATTTAGAAATAATGATTTTTAACTTATGAATATCAGTTTTCAATAAGTTATAGGCTATCAAATGAAAGGCTACATTTTTTTTTTAAATTTCCCGCTAATAATAGGAAATGGAAAAAATAATAATTAAAGTAAACTATAACAAAGCAGGTTATCTTGCACAAATATGTAGAAACATTTCTCATTTCGATTTACAAAAAAAAATTCTCAAGATACACTTTTGATATTTTATGTGCGACACCAAATTGTACTGTAGCACTAGGATTTAATATAATCAACTTATTTTTTCTGTTTAAAGTAAGATTTTGATAATAAATATTTTTATTGTAAATGGATAATTTATTATTTTTACACATCTCTCAGTCAGACACAGCTGCTTTTTTTTTTCATTACATTTGTTTTTATTTATTTTCATCTCTTATTTCACCTTTTCTTTATAAAATGAAGTAAAATATGAAGAGAAACAATATAAATATTGCTTAAGGTTAATTTAAAATTATGTATTTCACCTCAGTAACCTAATAAAATTTGTGCATCTATGTTGTACTTTAAGCTATTTATATTATAACTTAAAATTGAGATCAATGAAGTTTTTATGTATTTTTTTAATTTTATTTATTTATTTGAGGTTAATATTTTTTAATAACAATTTAACTTCATTTAGAACATTTAAAATCAATCAATTTGCTTAGAGCTTGAAAAATGTATGTATTTAAAGAAAAAAAAAGTAGGAATTTATTTATTTACTTATATGAGTAGAGAAAAAAATTTTGCGAAAAAGAATATTAAACCTATTTGCATAGCAAACTACAACAACTCACATCTAGGACTGGGCGATATAAGAAATTTTATATTGTGATGCATCTTCAGTTTTGCATCGCGATATAGCGATGTATCGCGATATAGTATTTTTGAAATTCATTTACTTGTGAGTCGCAGAAAGTCGGATTTCTATCAAAACTTCATACTCAGATGGATTTAAATCAATTTATGAATTTGGTGTCTATGTTTTGCTTAAGAAAGATATTAATGTTATATTTTCTAAAAATGATCGCGCAAATAACAAAAGATTTCTTAGTTTAAAAATAAATAATAAAAAAATAAATAAAATTGAAATTTATCAATATATTTACCTAACAATATAGAAAGAAGATTTAAAAAATAAGTTTGTTAAAAATTATTTGTATGCTTAAAACAAAGTGCTAAATAAATTAAACAGGAGAAAAAAAAAACACTTTTGAAGCAACACTATTTTTTATCATTATTATTTCACATAAATAATAAAGTTAAATTGAATAATTAGAATTCTGAATGAAAAAACAAAGTAAGGTTTAATTTCTTAAAAACAAAAGAATTATGATATTCGATAATATATTCAACTGGCAATATTGAAAAAAAAATTAAAAAACACGATTATACTCTTTAATAAAACGAAGTGCTAAATGATTTTAAAAAAAGAAGTCGCAATCGCAAACATTACTAATTTTTTTGAATAAACAAAGTTGATTGACTTATGTCCAAATTCAATAGAGGAAAAATAAGTTTTGTTGTAATTTTATTTATAAAAATGAAAACAACTAAAGATTTATAAATTTAAAATCAGTTATAAAAACACATTAAATTATTATTTTATCCAAAAAGTTTTCAATAAATTAAAATAAAGTAAAAAATAGCCTAAGAAATTTAATTACTTTTTTATTTAATTCTTTATGGGCACCTTAAATTAGATTTCCATTTGTAATAAATTCAATACTGTAAAATAATACTTAAATATATAATATCAAAATTAATTTTCACATTTAAAATTAAATAAGAAAGTTTTGTTTCAAAAAAAAATTTACCTAATTAAGAAACACTTCTTTATATATTCTTTTCAATAATAGATTACGTTCAGAAGGGTGATCACAAAGTCAGTCTCACTGAAAATAATCTACAAGAAATGATATCAAGTCTCGACAAAGAAGAAAGAAAAAATAAGAGGTGCGGAAACGAACATGCAAGATCACGATGTATGTTCTCAAAACTGATTCTGATTCTACCGCTCATCAATCAAGGCCGTTTCAATAAAAACGATACGTACATCGTCTTCCCCAGCACGAGTTGGCATCGGATCGTAAGAGATCCTTGCGTGTCTTATATCGCTATAATGTTCATCTTCTTTACTCGACGGCTTAAATCAGATTTCTGATGCAACGCCTGTAATGAAAGTCGCTGTATCAGCCTGCCGATACAGGCATTGAATCGATATGTCGCGATATATCGATTTATAGCCCAGTCCTACTCACATCCTATTCAATTTTTAGGTAAATGGGATAAAAATTATTTGTTATTTATTGGGCCTGTAATTGGTCAACGAAACTGAAGAGGGGGGTATTAAAAAGAGATAAAAATGTTTTCTAGGCAGGGTTCGTTGATTTAAATCAACTGATTTTTTTTAATACAGATATTGATTTTAAAAGTTAAAAAACAGTGTTTTAAATTATTGATACTTTTATTATTTTCTTTTCTTAGTTTTAAAATTTATTTTAAATAAATTGCTGTGTTAATTAATTTTAGTTAACGAAATTGCTTTCTTTCTTGGTGTGTTAAATTCCAACACATTTGAAATTACATTTTTAAAAATCTTTTGATTCTTGAGATTGAAAGTACAGATTAAAGTACACATTTAATACTGTCTTAATATATACTTGCATAGCTGTAGAAAGTAATTAATAGACATGAATTTCGAAAAAAAAATGCAAATAATCTTATTTAAAATTCTACCTTTTGATTGAAACAGCATGGAATTAAAATCTACATTATATTTTATTGGTGGAAAATGTATATTTCTAAAGCTTGAGGTTATATTAAAAAGAATTATACCTTAATATGCCAAAAATAAAAAGAAAAAAAAAAGGTTAATGAATTGATATACTTTTTCCTGATATAGTGTCATTCTTCTCTTTCAAAGTCTATTTGACGCAATAAAGTTATTAACTGGTATTTTTTTCTCATAATATGTTTACAGTATCTTTGACATTATCAAATTTTCTATAAAGAAATTTCGTGAAAAAAAATTCCAATGAGTGCATAGGTTTTGTAAAAAAAAATTTTAGCTGATCTATTTTGACATAGAATTAAAAATGAATATTTTAATATAAAAATACATAGATTAAATATTTATTTTTTGATGAGTGACTACATTTATAAACACAATCTGTTATATTTATTTTGTCATATTAAAAATCAAGAGAAAAAAAATTTACAATTTTAAATTAAAATTATGGTTTGCTAATTGAAACTTAAATTTAATAGTTAAAGAGTCTGTCCAAGCCAAATTTGCTACTGCTTAGAGTACCTTCACAAATTCAACTTTAGGAAAAACAATAGTTGCACAAAATACTTTTTTTTTTTTTAAATTTCATTTTTGTGTTTCGTAAGATACGAATAAATCTATATTTTTGTGTTAATTTTTTAATATTTTTAATTTTCACAAATTATGTCTAAATTTTCACAAAATAAATATACGTCTCAGAAAAACCTAGACAGACCCCTTTCATTAAATTCTCTATTTGATCTAGTCTTCAAATTTCAATTATGCATTTGTTTCAAAATGGTTGCTATGCATTCAAAGCTATGTATTATAATGAAAAATTATATTAGTAAGTTAGAGCTTCTAAAATATTGTTATAACATTGCTTTCATATTAATTTAATTTTGATTCAACATTTATAAAGTATTTTTAATCGTAAATTAAAGTTCTTACAATGTGTTTGAATAAAAATCAAAAAAATCTGATTTAAATTTTTAAAAAAATCCGATTTAAATAAAAAAAATCTGATTTTTTTTTAATTTATTTTTTTAAAAGAATCAAAAAATCACGAACTCTGATTCTAGAATTCATATAAAAAAAAATTTCTAAACATTTGGCCCATCTTTTGTGCTATAACCAGACATATGCTCTTTCTTGTTCACTGCTAGCTATGCTGCCAAATAGAAGTAAAGGTCATATCGGTAAATATGGTCTGCAATAAAAGGATTATTTAATTTTATGCAGGCAATAAATAAAGCTATTATCATTATTCCTGCTCCCAGAAAAATTAATTTTCCCCATTAAAAATTTGTTATGGGCTAATAATGCAGTAAAAAGTTTTTTTTCCCCCTTTTAATGTACAGTGTTTTTTTTTTCAATCGAATTTTTTTATTGGATATAAAAATAGTGAATTTTTTCATCATTTTTTCCCATATTTTTTTTTTCTATTATTTTTAAAATGATTAATATATTGAAATTAATTTTAAATGAAAATATTGCTTAAATATGAGTTTTATTTATATTGTTGTTAATATATTACACTGATGTTAATACATTGTTAATATACGTTGCATAGTTAAAATGAGTGATTTTTCAACTAACTTTTATAAGATGGAAAATGTTATAAAACATATTAATCCGTCCATTCCAACAGGAAGACATTTTGAATTTAATTGAAAATTAATATTTATAGCATTAAAATTAAAGTAGTTTTCAGTCATTAACTTAAATTTCTATCCAATTTGAGAAATTTATGTCTGACACTGAAGTAAAAAATTTCAAATTAATTATGTATCATTTTTCACAAGCATATAAATTTAAATGAAGAACCTGATTACCCTATGTGATGGTAGATAAGTTTGACTCTATTGAACAATGATGATGGTTTAAAGGGAAATCTTGTTGGTTCAGCAGCTCAAGTAGTTATTTTTTTTGATCATCGTGATCTCTAGTGTAATGATGATTGTTCGTTTAAGCATTTGATTTCTAAGATGGAAGTTCGTGATGGTCCATAAAGGTACAAAAATGCGTTTTCATGATGATTTAATAATAATTATGTTGGTTCAGCACTAATATACCATCAAAACAAATTTTTTTATGTTGCACCATCAGTCAGAACATTGAGACGATGGTTTCTCATAATCATTCCAAGATTTGGTTTCTAAGAAACCATGATTGAAATTTCTGTTGGTTCAACATGAACAAACCATCAAAACAAGTTGCTATTCTTATATTGGACCATCGTAAATCAGTTTGAAGTCCTACATTGGAGTGATGGTTACTTATGTTGGTTACTATCAAAAAATATAATGGTTCATGATGGAATTATTGATGGTTACCATCAAATGAAAACCATCAAAAATGTTCAGTTTAGCTCAGAACTCTCTTTTTAAATTAATTTTAAGAAAATCTAAATTATTTCTTATGAATTAAATACCTATTAATATTCAAAATTAAGAGTAAATATAATTCACAACGTTTCAATAATATTTATTGCCAATTATGTCCGGAAAATATTGCAGTTTTTCTATTTTGATGACTATAAAATCCCCTATGTGTAAACTCTTTAATAAATTATACAACAACTATCGTGAGGTTTATACTATTTCGTGATGACTATAAAATCCCCTATGTGTAAACTCTTTAATAAATTATACAACAACTATCATGAGGTTTATACTATTTCGTGAAATCTACTGAACTTTTTCCTATGTTTGTTGGCTGCTGTGGAATAAGTTTATAGCTCACTTTATCCTTAATGCACAATCCACAGAGAACTGTTCAAGTGACGGAAGTTCAACCTCAAATGGCGTTGATTGGAAAATCGTTCAAAAAAGATGCCAAGGAAATTACCAAAGCTTTGAAAGAATTAGAGGGAGAAAAAATTATTGAACTTGAAAAAAAAATTGAATCCAAAGAGTTTGTATTTGATTCTTTTGTCTCCTTTAAAATGGAAGTTCATTGATTTTGCGTCTATCCTCTTACATAAACTCTGACGACAAAAAAAAATACTTGCATGGCGTTTTTAAAAAGTGCTTATTTTCGTTTTTTAAAAGCCCTTAACAGCTTCCCTGATCATCCCGAGTTAACTCTTGTTAACTCGGGATGACTATCGGGATGACCGAGCAACTATTTGTTATCCCGTGAAACAGAGCTTATTCTAGGCAGTCAAAGGAATCCACCCTGATGTAATAGACTCCATGCCCTTTTTGTTCTTTCTTTTCTCAACCCTTTTTTCTCCGAACTCTACATTGGATTTCTTAAACTTTTGTTATTTTTAACTCTTTTTATTTAGTTTGTCATTGCTGTCAATACATAGATTTATATGGGAAAGGAAAAATAGCCATCACACCCCCTTGTACTTGTCTTTGAAAGTTTGCAATTACTTCCACTATCATTAAATCATAATTATTATTAATGATTTTAATTATTAAATCATAACTACAGACACTTAAAAACATACATTTATTATTTTATTAATATATACGTGCATTTTAAATGAATTACTACTAAGCTAATTAGCTCATTAACTCAATATAAATGCTAATTTATTAATAAAAATTAGTTATTAATATGATTGCTTTGCTACTGTTGGTAAAGTTTAAAAAAAAATTCTTTTACTAATTTACAATGTTTTTTAATAAGACTTGTAAAGCCCATAGAAAGAAATTATTGCCTTTTTAGAATAATAATGCCCTTTTTTTAACTTTTGCCCCCTGCCCTTTTTTCTGCCTAGAATGAGTTCTGCGTGAAAACTCATGCATAGCAGAATTTGTCGGTAGGTTTTGTTTCATTAAGTTTTTATTCGATCAGAAGCAAATATTAACTACTGCTATTGGAAGTTTTCCAAATATTGGTTGGGAGTTTTGCTGTGGGATTGCACATGTATTTTGTGTGTTGCTGAATTTGCATAGAAAAAAAGTACATATTCCAGTGGCGTTTGGAGAATATCACTTTGTGTTGTCTCTTGTTTTAAAAACTATCATGCAAAAACCTATATTTTTCATTTGCCCTGAGATTACTCATGATAGTAAATTAAATGTTTTTATGTGCAAAAAATTTTCAATTTTTGTATTATGTTTTGTTCCTATTAATAAAATGTGTTGATCAAAGAATTGGTAAGGGAAGCTTTTTGTTTCAGTGAGTGTTCCCCTTTTGAAAATGAGATTCTTTACTCTTTTTGCTTCGTATTATGCAGTGTTTTTTACATTATCAACATTTTCAAACACATTTCGGTGTACTGCCAAGCATTTTACTTGTTTGATTAAATGTTCATATACTGAGCTGGGTTTAGTGGCTGCAAGATATTCTCAGGCTTCACCCTCTGAAATCGAACCGAAAAATCTCTCGATCATTTTATCACGGCTAATATAATCCAGAAAAAAGTTATCATGATCGTGTCAAGTCTTTGAAAATTATTTTGCTAATGTATATAGTGCTTAAAAAGAACTTAAAGGGTGCTTATTGAAATATTTGGCTACTCACCCTGTGTAAGTATCTTTAAATAAAAGTGATGCATAGCTGCAAACTCTACTTTCGTTTGCCAGTTTCTCCTGTTTTTTGTACATTTTTGAAAATTCACTAAAATTGAGTAAGTTTCGTAAAAAAAACCTTTTTGAAACAGAATTTTTGTCCAGATTATTGCTTGTTTGAATATTATAACAATTGTTATTAATACCTAATAAAGCGAGCCTCATTTATAATAAACAGTTAACTATCTTTGGTTTACGAGTTTGTGGTTGTATGCCGTGGCCAACGCTACTCCACCGCTTAGCCATTGGTGCTCACTGGGTAACGAGAAGAGAGTAGCATTTCTGAGGTCAATGGGAAATAGACCGCCATTAACCAAAAAAATAAAACTATCTTTGGTGAATTAAATGCTTATTCAAAGTTTTGAATGATATTTTAAGATCATTTAATTGAAACAGGAAAATAAAGCAAGTTCTATTTTGATAACTATAAAAATTCCTACAAAATCCTTATGTGTAAAATATTTAGTATATTTTGCAACCATTAACATGAAATTTATAATATTTTGTTAAATATATATATGCTTTTTGAAGTCATAACTGGAAAATATTGCATTTATTTATTGGAGTTGCATAAATTGATAGGACTTCCATCACAGCTGAGTTCTTGCAGGCGATCAGAGCGCAGATTAGGTAGCCAGCATATAAATCGATCACTGCAAACTGTCCTATCACAAAGCTTCCAAAATTTGTGTCATCGATGCAATAGGGGGGGACCAACATCATTATTAATAGGTGCCTGAAGACGCTCCATAACCACTGAGTGTCCGGATACTCTTGGCCAGATAGTGTATTTCTATGCACTGAATATTTAAGAAAATACATACAAATTAACACTTAGTAAATATATATATATAATGGATTCAAACTGAATAAATGTGTCTAATGTTTTTCTCTCTTTCTTTTAGGGTTTATATTCTTAATTTAGGGGGGAAAATCTTTGAAATTACTAACGATATGGTAAAAATAAACCGATCTCAAAAAACTTTGCACGGTGAGTAGTTTAAACTGCTTCTATTATCTATTTTTATTTATGATTTTAAACATTCTATGTATGTCAGTTATTAGTTATTTTTATAGATTTGAACTTTACCTACTCATATTTTATTTTATAACCGTGGTCGAACGGCCGAACCGAATTTTCGGGTTTACGACTACGGATGTTCGTAGCCTTGTCAAACCCTATCCAGAAGACAAGGGAACGAATATTGGAAGACTTCGTGCAAGACTTTTTGATGGAACCAACCCACATTTGTGTGACATGGAGAGGAAAACCTCCCTCAGTTAGTCTGATCTAACCCGTGATACAACTGAGGATATTCAGCACTGTGGTCAGTGCAAGCCAGCCATCACTAGGATTTTTAACCCTCATCTATCCACTGAGCTGAATGAGGAACATATGTCAAAAATTTGTGATTAGGAGAAAAGAGTATGTTTCCTTTAAATTGAAAGACATAAAAGTAGAGAAAACCCTGTGAACAAAATGTTGCTTTGCTTATTGACATATAATATTATTTTTCGAGGAACCAAAAGAAGAGAGGATATTCATTTTGAAATGTCTTCATAAAATACCGTTTTTTAAAACCATCTATTGTAGCATTTTTTCTTATTTGCTTCTTCTTTCTCAGTTTCTCATCCTTAAATTTTTGTACCCAAGACAATGAGTAATAAAAGTTAACATATTTTTTGTACTTTGTTTTTTAATCATTTTTCAGGGTTCCTGCGGCCTCGAAAAGTACTTGAATTTCATTTTGATTTTCAAGGGCCCCTAGAAGTACTTGAAAATAATGTTAAATCCTTGAAAATTTTAAAATGACCTTGAAAAGTATCTGAAACTCTTAAAAACCGCCCCATTTCTGTGTTTAACTTCTGACGCACGTAAGTGCAAGAGAATGACTTTTCTACCTTTCTGATGATGACGTGTGCTGTCCACAAGGACTAAAGAGAATAGAAGGGCTAGTTCACTTCGCTCTTAGAGCTAAAGCTACGATTTCCCTCCTCATGACGTCACTGTGTCCACAGATCTCGGAAGATCGCAAGCAAAGATATTATGATAACTTTGCATCTTTCTCTTTGTAAAAATAAGAGCTTTCAAACTTGATGTAGTTAACACATTATTTCCATTCATAAACATAGTTCAAAAAAACCCTCTTGGCCATTATATTAAAAAAAATACCATTTTAAACTTATAAAAATATTTTACTAGTTAACGAAAATGACACTATAAATACTTTATTTTAAAAAGTTCAGTTTTAACTTTAATTATTAAGAAAAATGAAAGCATAGACCGACACTTTTTTTTATCTACTATACATATTCTTTTATAACAATAAGTTGAGTTAAATTTAGAATCCCTGGTTTTAAAATATGCCATTAATTTGTTCATACTTAATCATTAGGGAACATCAATCTTAAACGCTAATTACTGAAACAAAATAATAATTTAGGCTCATAATGACATTAGAAATTTTACAATTGCTTATAGATATTTAAATTTATGATGATATAATTTATAGATATTTAAATTTTAGAGAATATAATTTTTTAAAAAAATCATAAATATTTAGAATAACTACATTTAAAATATGTTATGAAATTAGGAGAATTTCAACTATATATTTTATTTATACTTTTTATTTACATTTTAATTTTCTTTGACTTTATCAATTTTTTAATTTTTTTCACCTACCTTTATTTTTGAAGTAACGAGACGGTTTCTATTTAGATAATGAATTTTTATAAAAGTTCTTAACGATAGAATAAACGTATTGCTGTTTTATATTAACTGTGTCATTTCGGAATCCATTCTTTACATAGTTGTTCATTTACTTTAGGGAACATGCGGAAAATTATATTTTTTCCTTTTGTTTTTTTATCAGAAATTTTGCAAGTTGCAATCACGCAAACTGGCATTTCGATAATAGTTTTAAATGTTTGTAAATTCACTGCAAAAAGTGAGGAAAGTCATTATAGAAAAAAAAAAAAATTTCTTAGAATATGTCAAAAAAAGAAATGTTTCCATAATAGTTAGAGCTATTGAGGCCGAACGCTCCGTTCTAGAAGTAAAAGTGGGAACTTTGCGCCAAAGTGACGTCACTAGAGAAAATCAGAGGATTGGCACGGCGAGGGTTTCTACAAAGGAGTGAACCAGCCCTTCTATTCTCTTTAGCCCTGGCTGTCCACGCTTATCAGTTGCTCAAGTCACGGTTTCCCTCTTTGGTCAACGTGGTCCTCAGCAAAGACTGGTTTGGCTCTATTGTAGTCCCTGCTTTTAACTCAAAGAGAGAAATATGAGTAGTTGGACTTGGAAGGAACTTCTTCCCACTGCAGTAGCCTCCTGAGCAGATCCGTTTTTAAGGATGGGCCCAGGCCCCGCGTTCCAATGGGGCCCCTGAAGTTTATCGCATTTCGTTTTTTTTTTTTTTTTTAATCCTAACTGATTTGTTAGAAAAAAAGTATTAGCCAGTGAGAAAGATTGAGGTGAAATAAGTAATTCATTCAGCCATGGGTCTCGTCAATAGCGACATGTTGCAAATGATGGAATAATACTTTCTTGTAGAAGGGGCTTCTAAAGATGACCCATGAACTTTATTTTTAATGGGGTGATTCGTTTTACTCATTTGCTACCCCTTCTACACAATTCCGGGAAAGGGGATTATTATATGCTAGCCAACAACAGTAAAGCAATGCTTTATGTTTCTTCTTACTTTAGAAAAATAAAATTTTTATTTGACAGAAAATTTGAATTGTGTGTTTCAAATAATACATGCTTTCTTTAATGTATTGACCTTACCTGCATTTTGAGAGGCATTTTTTTTTAAATCTAATACAAATAAAAGTTTAAAAAACTAACTTAGTAAATTGTTATTTTTCTTTTAAATAAAAGCAATATAAAATTTTTAAATTCAATGAATTAAAAATATTAACAGTAATTCTATATATACTGCAAAAATTCGTTAATGAAATCAAAAAAAAATTCTTAGCTACTATTTAATATATTATTATAAAAATACATTATTATTAATTTAAAAGAATTTTATTTTATTATTACGTTTTAGTCAGTTCAGTTATGATGACGTTTTGTCAAATTGAAAGGCAAACACAAAGCGCGTACGATTAATGCTACGGCAAAAAAAAATCAAGTATGATTGCTTAATTAAAACAGTCAATTCTATATATACTGCAAAAAATAATTAGAAATCCAAAAAAATTCATAGCTACCATTAAATATATTATGAAAATATATTATTGTTAATTAAAAAAAAATTTTTTTGATGACGTTTAATCAAGTAGAAAGGCAAACACAAAGTGCGTACTATTAATGCTACTGAAAAAAATTTAATAAATTCAAGTATGATTGGTTAATTAAAACAGTCAAAGTGACTAAAATTGTTAGGAAGAATCTATCAGAAGATTTTAAGGTGAAAGTTGACAACTGTTTCAATTTAAAATGGCTGACCGGTAATAAATTTAAAATCCTAATTAAGCTGGGACAATAATTGATTAATTTTCTTTAATAGAGAAGTGGTCAAAATTTTAAAATTATATTTCAGAACAATTTAAATTTCACTGTCTAAATGCTTCTTCCACTTTAAATATTTATAAAATATTAAATAAAAATCTTCTGGCAGAGTTGTTTTTGTATATCTCGTTGATATTATAGTATATGTAGAACACCAGGGGTCTGTCCAGGCCGAATTTACTACCGTTTAGCAGTACCTTCACAAATTCAACTTTAGAAAAAACGGTAGTTTCACAAATTCAATTTGAGGAAAAACGGTAGTTTCACAAAATACTTTTTCTTAAAATGTTATTTTTGTATCCCTTAAGAAACGATAAATCCATATTTTTGTGTTGAATTTTTAATATAATTTTTAATTTTTCACAAATTATGTCTAAATTCTCACAAAATAGGTACCTCTCAGAAAAACCTAGACAGACCCCTGAACACTCCCCCCCCCCATCTTCCCAGTGACAGTAGAAGTTCAGCTTTTTTTTTATTTTTGTCCGCTTTATTTGATTCTTTTTTCAATCATATTTTACCTCAGACATTCAAAAATTATTTATTATATTTGTTAATGATAACTACAAAAGTCATTGTTCTTTACATATCATTTAAGATGCGTGAGTTTTGTACTAATAAATATCTTTTAATAATTTTAAGTAGTATGTTTTCTATTTTCTTTACTCTAACTGTAGATTTGTTATTATAAATAAATTTGAGTGTACTTTGTTTTCATTTTTGTATAGATTGTTTGAAATGTTCCTCTTCTCTTCATGACTTGTCCGAATCTTTGCTTATTCAGAGATTGTATACCTAGCTTAAAATAGGCCTTATATAAAATTCAAATCCGACATTTTTAGGCATCATGAATTTTATCCTTGACTTGATGTCAATCACCCTTTGCTTTTTTTTACACTTAGATTACAGAGCAATGGAAGTTTTATGTTTCAGTACTGCTATTATCGTGTAACATTTATCCTCAACTACCTATTATCGTCAAGACATTTTGGTTTAAAATTTTAAATTTTAGTCTATCTTTTACTATAATTTAAGTCCTTGAGAATTTTTAATAAATCTTAAAAAGTCCTTGAAAAGTACTTGAATTTTATTTTTAAAGTAGAGCATGAACCCTGTTTTTGTATTCCTTTTTATGGGTCATTTCTTTAAATAGTGTGTAACAGGGTTCCCACGGTCCTTAAAAGTCCTTATAAACTGCTTAGTTTTTATTTCGAAAATTAAGGGCCCCTATAAGTACTTAATTTTGATTCACGGTCCTTAAAAGTCCTTAATTTCTAGTATCACTAGTTGGTTGGAACAATTTTTTTATCTTAGGAAAATATCCACAATTAAAAAGTACGTCTTTCGCCTAGAATGACACCCTGCATTGAGGGTAGAATTTTTTGAATGTATGTGAGGGTAGGGGTTACAAGCAAGTGGAAGAAAACACGTCCTTATTGTTTTTTTTTTTCTTTTATTAATTTTTTCATTAA